GTTGCCAGGGCCAGTATACAGGCCAGCTCCTCGGCTCCAGGGCTAGCCTGGGTGCCAGACTGTTGCCAGTGCCAGTATACAGGCCAGATCCTCGGCTCCAGGGCTAGCCTGGATGCCAGACTGTTGCCAGGGCTAGTATACACTGCCTGGCCAGCTCCTCGGCCCCAGTCTAGCCTGGTTAACAGTCTCCACAGGTCGGCTTAGGGGTGTCTTACCGGCCCCAGTCTAGCCTGGTTACCAGTCTCCCCAGGCTGACTTAGGGGTGTCAGTAAGTAAAGGCCTCTCTTGACATGCACAATCTTTCCAGCTTACGCACTAATTTAAACCGACCCCTTTAAGGTAGATATATGCTGTGGTGTGTTGGCTCGGAGCCCAGTCGCCTCCCACGGCCACTACCGCCCACCTATACTCTCCAAGCAGAGGTTGGTGGGGGAAGATCGTCACCGTTTTATATAGAGTATGCCTCGTTTTATATATGCCTCGTTTTTTTTTTTGGCGACAAAAAAAAACGAGGCATATATAAAACGGTGACGATCTTCCCCCACCAACCTCTGCTTGGAGAGTAGCCCACCTACACTACAGTCGGCAAGTGCTCTGTAGTGGGCCGTCATAGTAGTGAACCCTATTGTTGAGGTTTATTGAGGAAAAGCTCTCCTTTAGCTGCCCACCCGAGGGTGGGCAGCTATTCTTCCAGGAGAGGGTACATACATGAAAGACATAACAATACATCACGTACAATTACATATACATTTACATTACATAGTTATTGAAAAGAAACAAATATGTAACATCGTATGTGCTTTACTTACTCATGTCCCTCATGTGTTTTTAAATTAGTAGGCCTTGTTTGAACTTCTCATGTGATGCCACTGTTTGCAGCCCATGTGGTAGAGAGTTCCATGCTGCAGTAGTTCTGTATATGAAGGCTTTTTTTAGTGGTCTGTTTTTGGTTTGTCTAGTTTGAAGGTGTTCCGAGTAGCATATCTGGTTTTCAATTACTTTTCAATTACCTGAATTACTTTTCAAAGATTCCAAACGTTGTGTATTGTATGACTCAGGACGAAATAGTGAACAACTTGCTAAACAAGGCAGGATCGGGCTTGTATCTCACGGAATTATTTCCTCAAATGACGTATGTGAGTATTTTCGCAGGGTTAGGGATCATCTGCAAGCACATCCGGTCAGGGGCAAGGGGAGTTTTTCTTATTGAATATTTAAGCCCAGAAGATTTCTTAAATTTAAAAATTAAATAACCAAGTAGTCATCTGAAACGCACGACAAATGAAAAAATGAATCAACCGAACTAAGTAAATTATAAAATCAGGACTGAATTGAATGGAGAATTGAATAATAAGTATGTAACAAATAACGTGCTGAAAACTGAAAGCCTTATCGGCAAGTGCTCTGTAGTGGGCCGCCATAGTAGTGAACCCTGAATTACTTCTCAAGGTTTCAAACGTTGTGTGTTGTATGACTCAGCTCAGGACGAAACGACAACTTGCTAAACAAGGCAGGATCGGGCTTGCAGCTCACGGAATTGTTTCCTCAAATGACGTGTGTTGGGTATTTTCGCAGGGTTAGGTCATCTCCAAGCAGATCCGGTGGGGCAAGGGGACTTTTTGTTGGCCGCCTGTATCCCTGATTGGCCGCCCCCTGATTAGAGTTCCAGACACGTCATCGCTTCATGATGTCAGACAAGGAACAAGGAACAAGGAAATCCTGCGCCAGTCTTGAGCAGGCCACAGATAGACGGATGCTTTATGCTCTACAAGTAGAGATTTAGGCTTCGGCTTAGTTTTGAGCCGTTTTTTTTCTCCTTTTTTGTGTACCAGTATCGTTTTTCACCAGCCAAACGGTGGTGTAGTGAACACTGTCCTGCTACTTTGATTCCGCCAGAATATCTGCTTGGAGATCAGTTGTTTCAGACGGGGACTCTTCCGCGCCACCCTCCCCACCGCCTCCAGCTCTTCTCACAGACATCATCTTGTTGTGAAGGTGGGTTTTAAACTTTCTTCTTCCAACTTGTGTAAGTTAAAAATCCCTCTTCGTCTATATATAGGTAACAAGGTGATACTGTCTCACTCTATACTCTGAAAAGAAGTTGTTTTAAAAAAAGTCTCAAACTTTAACCACATTTAGATAAATTGATGTATAAATAACTGTGCACTCTGCCACTTTAGTCCTTGCTAACAGCATTGCAAACCGAACCAGTCTGCTTGAAAACAGTCGAGTCGAAACATCAAGCGTTTTTGAGGAAACAAAGAGTCAGATAAGGCTGTGACGTTATAGAACAGATGTTGGTATCGTTAACCACACTGACCACAGTCCTTCTAGGAGAAGCTGCATGCAGAAATACATTGTACGGCTTGGAAAATGGATCTAGGCAGATCAGAATTATTTCTATTATCTCTATTAATTTTTATTATTATATTTCTATTATTTAAATTATTTATTATTATATTCTATCATATTTCTATTAATTTGTTACCGCTGAGGCACCACAGATTGTGAGGTACGTGCAAAATTGTAATCTCCAAGCATATCCTTCGGTGGGGTTAAGACAGTATCAAATTGGCCAGTCTGTAACCATTTCCCCACCCAAGTTGGTGGTGGTAGCGACAACCATCAACATCTGCTTGGAGAGTACAAAATTACACATTGGCAAAGATTTTAGGTGCAATTTAAAAAATTTATGTGCAAAATTATATTCAGTCGGTCTGCAACTGTTTTCCAGCTGGTTTGGCATACAATTTCCTTTCCTGGTGGCTCAGTGGAAGGATCCTGCAAAAATTATGTCAGCCCTCAATAAATGAGACCTTTGTGTTATTTGCATGATGATTCAGCTTTCAAGCAAGAATTTAAAAATGCAAAGCTTTGAAACAAGAAGAAAAACATGAAAAGTTGTATTTCTCGGCATTAACTTAAGCTTTCCAGGGCACCGCAAGTGCCTCTCCCACCCCTCCTAGTCCCTACATGTCACAAACACTGGAGTAACTGTTGGAACATCCCGAAATTTAAAACATTTTATACGGCACATAAAGAAATGAAAGTTTACCAACAGTCTGAGAGCAAATTGATGTATTATTTTTAGTTTGCAAATTTGTTTTCCTTGATTATCGTGCACGATATGTAAAGCTGTATATTAATTTTTTCTTCTTTGCCTGTAAATTGCGCCCTTGCTCTAGGAGCAAAATTGCATATTCAAAATATTTTTAAGTTCAAATCTCGAAAATCATGTGCGTTTTGCACATTGCACATGATCTTACAACCAGTTTCCTCCACCCTTCTCGGCTTTCCCTCTTAACACTTAATCACTTGTTCATTCTCTGATATTCATTATCATTATTATCAGGATCGGTCGGCTCCTACTAAGTGTTGTTATATCATGGCCATATAATATATTGCTAACCAACAATGCTGAATTCTCGGGTTTCTGTTCCTCTAAGCGTTTCACTAAGTGCCATTCTCTTAGTGTCCATTCTCTAAAATTCATCATCATTATCGCCATCATGATCGGTCGGCTCCGACAGCAAGTTTCCCCCACTTCCCCTTTTTGCTAGCAAGGTCAGACATGTCAGATATTTGATACCATCATGCCTCCCGTTTCCTGCCCCTTTCTTCCTCCTTGTAATGTTGCTCGAATCATCTGTCCCTAACCGTGGCATGCCAGGCCATACCACTTTAGATTTTAGATTAAAGATCCAGTTTCCGTAAAATTTACAGAAAATTTTCTTTAAATTTTACGGAAACTGGAGCGGTATTTCTGTACGGAGATTGAAGTGGTATTTATTTTTTACGGAATCTGAAGAGGCATCACCAGAATAATTTCTGTTAAAATCGACATATATATATATATTTAGAGGTGTATAACGTTACACCTCTTGCATTTTTGCAAATTAAGCCCCACTCCCTATTATTTACCAAAAACTCCAGGTGTTCATACCATACTCTCCACCGACATGGAGTCTAAACCCGCCCCTCTCGCCGTCTGCTTGACTGTGGTTTCCGTGTTCATCGCCCAACATGGATGGGTTAGAGGACAACTCTTCTTCCCACCTGTGTGTCAGACCTGGAACTCAACAACTGTCGTGTGTAGGGAGAATGCGTGTCTAACCCAAGTACCTCCCGGCATCCCCGAGTCTGTCATCACGGTGGATCTCAGTTCGAACAACATAACTATACTGTATAACGGCTCGTTTAGTGGGTTAAGAAACCTGAGATCCTTAGACCTGTCTGGTAATCCTATACAGACTATCGAGGTCGGTACATTCGCTGGTTTGAAGAATTTAGAACGTCTTAAACTACTAGCACTTGGCAACTATCCTCTTCAAAATGGACTTTTCCAAAATCTGCGAAACCTGAACTCTCTGACCGTGCGGACTTACACCGATACAGTCGCCAGCGAGGGAGTGTTCACGGGGTTATCTAAACTCAGACATTTAGCACTCTCCGTGAAAAATATCAGCAATTTACCCGATCATTTGTTCTATCTTTTGACTTCATTGGAAAGTCTAGAGATACGGGAACTCGGCGGTGACATAGAAGAGGACCGGAATACCACCATGAGAAGAGTCCACAGCGGAAGTGGGTTCTTACAACGACGCCTGCTGTGGGCACCGCTGCACAACCTTAAAGAATTGACTCTCCATCTACCAAGAGCCAGTGACTTCTACTTTGGACCTGTATTTAGAAACATGTCTAAGTTGGAGACTATAGCAATAAGAGGTACCATTACCCTCAACGTTCAAATGATTCGGCCGTTGTTAATAACTCTGAAACATTTAAACACAAACAGTAGGATAGCTCCCGGGTTGCTGATGTCACTCACAAAGGTACAGACGTTTGACTTCTACTGTTTTGCAGACCCTTGTTTAAGTCCCGTTCTGTCTGAACTCCGACACACGCAGGTTCAGAAGTTGACATTAGTACTGTGGGAAATTGATACAATAACATCTGATACTCTACCGGGATTAAAAGGTCTAAAACATTTTAAAACATTAATTTTTTACATTGGCAACATTGGAACCATAGAGGCTAACGCATTTGAGGGTTTGTCACATTTACAAAGGCTGGATCTGACGCAGGTCTCCTTGGAAACTTTACACAACAATGCGTTCAGCGGACTGTCCTCACTCACTCATCTCAATTTGACAGGTAACGAAATTTCTATTTTACCACCAGACGTGTTTGAAGGACTGTCCTCACTCACTCATCTTGATTTGAGCTATAACAACTTGCAAACCTCCCAAGCTCAGCTTCCAGAGACCTTGGACTATCTTGATCTCAGTCACAATAAGTTATACAACAAATACACGGGTGAATGTTTATCAGTTATCAGTGGTTTAAAAAGCGTGAATCATCTGAATTTGAGTCATAATGAAATTGAAGATGTTTACATCGATTGTCTACCTAGGAATATTACTGTGCTTGATTTGCAGCACAACAACATAGAAAAGATGTATAATCCATTCTGCTTTGCGAGTTTACGGTATCTCGACCTTTCTAACAATAAAATCTCTAGTAGTACTCATTTTTATCGTTCACCGTGTGAGCAATCGGTATTAGAAACACTTAGGTTGGATAACAACGCGATAATAGATATATCACTAGTACCATGGCCACAGAATCAAGTAATAATTTTGAAAACGTTGACTCTTTCTCACAACCAAGTCCAGCGCATTAGAACATTACAACTGACAGTGTTGGACCAACTGGAGCATTTGGACCTCAGTTATAACATGATCAACACCGTCATGCCATCCGCCTTCCGTGGACTATCGCGGCTACAATTCCTGGATCTCAGTAACAACAAGATAAAGTATATAACACAGATGACATTTGAAGGTTTAGGCAACCTTACACATTTAAACCTGGCAGCCAACAAGATAGCAGTGATTGGGGACGCCTTTCAGCGTCTGTACGGGTTGAGGCACCTGAATCTGAGTAGCAACAGGTTGGCTGTGTTAAATCAAACAACACTGGGTTCTGTTGTCTACCGGTTAGAGACTATCGACATTGCAGACAACCCGTTTCTGTGTGACTGTAAGTTAATGTGGTTTGTTGAGTGGGCCCTGGATAAATACGACAGGGTACCGAACTTCCACAATTCCTATCCCGACTTCGGTCGAGGGTACACATGCTTGACTCCAGCTCATCTGCGTGGAAGACGTTTGTTAGACGGGCTGACGCAGAAACAACAATCTAACGTCATACAGGATCCATCAGAACGAAAGTTCTTCGACGTAGACTGTAGTCATGGATTCCGCCCCAACCGCCTCCTGGCCTGTGTGCTCGCCTCTTCGGGCATCTTCGTCGCCATGACGACCATTTTCCTGGTCGACTACCACGTCGGTCGTGTTCAGTACTACCTGTGGATGTTGGCCAAGTGGAGGAGACCGAAGATTGGAGAAGTAAAGAACCAAGGGCCACCTAGATACACGCACGATGCTTTTCTTGCCTACAACAACCGGGACGTCGGCTGGGTTATACATCAAGCGATAGAGAATCTGGAACCTGACTACAGTCTGGTTTTACACGAAAGGGACTTTGCAGTGGGCGCTCCCATTGTGGAAAACATCGCGGATGCCGTGGAAAACAGCCGGAGAACCGTCTGCCTCATCACCAGGAACTTCCTGAAGAGTAAGTGGTGCGAGTACGAGTTCCAGCTGGCCCAGTACCACATGTTTGAGGAGGGGGGAGGGAGGCGTCTCATCCTGGTGTTTCTGGAGAGGATTCCTAACGAAATGCTTAAACAGTTCCGCCATCTGAACGCCGTAGTAAAGAGGGACACGTACCTGATGTGGCCACACGACGTGCAGAAAAGGCCGCTGTTCTGGAGGCGGCTGCGAGACGCTCTGGGCGATCCTCTACCCCGGGACCCAGAGCCTCAGCAGCAGGTACAGGGTCCAGAACGGAACGCTCCGGAACGTAACATTCCAGAAGAGCTGGGACGGAACATTCCGGAAGAGCCGGGACGGAACATTCCGGAACAGCAAGAACAGGCCCCAGTAAGAAACGTTGTGGAAGTGCAGGTCCATGCTCCCATGCGGGACATTCCGGAACTGCAAGATGAAATTCTATTACCAAATCCAGACGACCAGTGGTTTGGAGATGGGGATGACGTGCCCCTTCTACCGCTGTAGATCAAGATCAAGTTTAGACAACTTAGGCTCCAGGGCTAGCCTGGGTGCCAGACTTTTGCCAGGGCCAGTATACAGGCCAGCTCCTCGGCTCCAGGGCTAGCATGATTGCCAGACTGTTACCAGGGTCAGTATACAGGCCAGCTCCCAGGCTCCAGAGCTAGCCTGGGTGCCAGACTGTTGCCAGGGCCTGTATACAGGCCAGCTCCTCGTCTCCAGGGCTAGCCTGGGTACCAGACTGTTGCCAGGGTCAGTATACAGGCCAGCTCCTCGTCTCCAGGGCTAGTCTGGGTGCCAGACTGTTGCCAGGGGCAGTATACAGGCCAGCTCCCAGGCTCCAGAGCTAGCTTGGGTGTCAACAGAATGCTGTTTTTTTTTATTTCGTCTTTGGAGAATGCATCTTTATTAGTCCGTAAAATCATATCCCTTTGAACTATAAGTATAATCTACTCTGTATAGCAATATGTACTTACCTGTATCAGGTTTTAGGATCCTCTTTTAAATTGCAGTAATTTCATATTCACCATCATATCTTTTTACGTCATTTGTTTTCAGATAGCCTTCTGCTACAGTTTTCTATGGACTTATAATGTTTACAACATTTATATGAGTTATTAGTTGCCTTTATTTTTAAAACTTGTATGTGTATGAGTATATATAGCCTGCACAGCAATATGCGGTTTCAGCTAACGATGATTGAAACTTGATGTGCACAATTCTTTTTCCTGCATTTGTAGTGAGTGCATCAATGAAAGATTAAATTGTGTTTACCGGTGCACTTGGCTTATAGATATAATATGAAAGTTTCATGCATATGATTTAAATTTTAGTGTGATGTCAATTGATAGTTCTTTAAATTTTGTCGTGTGCTATGAAGATGATGACTTCTACCGTGTGTTTAATAAACAGTATTAAACCGTTAACACCGTCTTTGGAGTCACTGTACATGTATAAATGCATACTGTTGTATCTTTGGGGTGCCTTGTATTTAAGGTCTCATTCTTGTATTACTCCGAGTGTACCAAGTCAAAAACTAAACGGCTGTATGAACGCGTGTTTTTGTTGGTGAGAATTTCCCCTTTAGCCATCCCTACTGATGTAAAACGTCAAAGCGGTGAAAGCTTGTTTGTAACTGATGAAATTAGGACATAATTGTCGGCAGCCGCGCGCTAGGTCGGACGTGCACAGTCCAGTGTTGTGAGTTGTGCGGTCGTAGGTTTGCAGCGCGGGAGGGCCTCTTGCGGGCAGCCGCTAGTTACCTCCATGAAAAATGGAGGTATTGTTTTTGGCGGCGTCTGTCTGTGTGTGTGTCTGTGTGTGTGTCTGTGTGTCTGTGTGTGTTTCCGCAACTTTGTAGTCAGCATAACTTCATAACGCCTTTATGGATTGTGATGATATTTGGTATGCTGATAAGTCTTAGGAAGACAAAGGTCAAGGTCAAATATGGGCCTCCTGGTGGATGACCTTGGTACTGCAGCAGAACTTCCGGTTTTTGTATCTTTTGTCCTGAACATGCTATGGTCTTGAATTTTTGGTGACAGATAGCTTTTCCTGTCAGGAATAAGTGGTGTGGGTTTGGTCCCCCTAGCAGCTTGTTCAGGAACTGCAGGGGACTTTCGGGCGAAATCTTTGAAAGCCAATAAGTCCAGATAGGAACAGCGTATTTTCATCATTTTTGGTGTGTAGGTATCTGACAGAGAGATGTACATAATAAACTGCAAATTATGCAAATGAGGACTTTATTTGCATAATTAATGAGGAAATTCTATAATTACAGTGTTTTACATTATAGAACTTTTATACATGTTATGTATGTAACCTATGGCAGATGGAACATCAACAGATACTAATTATGCAAATGGTGACCTAATTTGCATAATTAATGCAAAAATCTATGATTTCTCAATGGTGAATGATGGGAATGTCATACTTGGGACATCTTTAAGTTAATCAAAAGTTAACATCACGATGCATATATTATGTTAATGCAGAGGTCATTTGCATAATTAAAGAAGAAATTTACATTTACATATCAAGCCCATATTTCATGGAGGTATGAGATCTCGGAACTCTTGTTGCAGTTTGTAATTCCCATAAAAGGGGATTGTGTGTATAGAAGTCGTTGGCAATTTTTTTATGAGACGTAGAGTAAGTGTGCTCAACATAGCGTGAAAGATATCAATTGATTTAATGTAGAATCATAGGGAACACGGTCTCGTAAGTCACTCATTAATGCATGGTTTCTAATGTATGGAAAAACTCATGAATGAGACCTTTATTCGCCAGGAAGCAGGTAATGTAGACCCTAACAATCTTGCCAGGGACAGCATACAGGCTAGCTCCTCGGCTCCATGGCTAGCCTGGGTGCCAGACTGTTGCCAGGGCCAGTATACAGGCCAGCTCCTCGGCTCCAGGGCTAGCCTGGGTACCAGACTGTTGCCAGGGTCAGTATACAGGCCAGCTCCTCGGCTCCAGGACTAGCCTGGGTGCCAGACTGTTGCCAGGGCTAGTATACACTGCCTGGCCAGCTCCTCGGCCCCAGTCTAGCCTGGTTAACAGTCTCCACAGGTCGGCTTAGGGGTGTCTTACCGGCCCCAGTCTAGCCTGGTTACCAGTCTCCCCAGGCTGACTTAGGGGTGTCAGTAAGTAAAGGCCTCTCTTGACATGCACAATCTTTCCAGCTTATGCACTAATTTAAACCGACCCCTTTAAAGTAGATATATGCTGTGGTGTGTTGGCCCGGAGCCCAGTCGCCTCCCACGGCCACTACCGCCCACCTACACTCTCCAAGCAGAGGTTGGTGGGGGAAGATCGTCACCGTTTTATATAGAGTATGCCTCGTTTTATATATGCCTCGTTTTTTTTTTGGCGACAAAAAAAAACGAGGCATATATAAAACGGTGACGATCTTCCCCCACCAACCTCTGCTTGGAGAGTAGCCCACCTACACTACAGTCGGCAAGTGCTCTGTAGTGGGCCGTCATAGTAGTGAACCCTATTGTTGAGGTTTATTGAGGAAAAGCTCTCCTTTAGCTGCCCACCCGAGGGTGGGCAGCTATTCTTCCAGGAGAGGGAACATACATGAAAGACATAACAATACATCACGTACAATTACATATACATTTACATTACATAGTTATTGAAAAGAAACAAATGTGTAACATCGTATGTGCTTTACTTACTCATGTCCCTCATGTGTTTTAGTAGGCCTTGTTTGAACTTCTCATGTGATGCCACTGTTTGCAGCCCATGTGGTAGAGAGTTCCATGCTGCAGTAGTTCTGTATATGAAGGCTTTTTTAGTGGTCTGTTTTTGGTTTGTCTAGTTTGAAGGTGTTCCGAGTAGCATATCTGGTTTTCAATTACTTTTCAATTA